ATAAAGAAACACACCCTTAGTTTTATTAGTGACCCCCTACTTATAAGCCCATCTACGTGTAAACAAAAAAAGCAGCCCTCGGGTATAAGCCCTCCTCTACCTTTTCTTCGTACGTAAAACATGTAGAGTGCAAAACAATATATTTTTTCTATCTTATCAAATACCATTAAAGAAACTCCGTAAGCGTACAGCTACTAAAATTCGAGCAACTAGGTGTAATTCCGGAAAGCGCCATTATGAGGAAGCTTAATACAATGACGACTGTGTTTTGCACATTTGTTTCCTTACTTGCATGATGTACGTATTGGAGCTTAATCAAAACCAGTTAATAGTAAAATCTGCTAGATTTTGGTCTCAAGTTATCTCAAGTTATAGCTCATTTTGAAAGTTGTTTTTCATTCACTTATAAGTTCCTCTTCCCAAGAAATTAGCCCCGTATTATGAGCCTCCCAGACTCTTTATGAAGTTATATCAACGGAATTTTACGGTTTGTGGTTTTTGCCCATCAAATGAAAAACTTCACAGTTTTGCCAGTTAAAAGTCTGTACACATATGTTAAACATATGTTAAATCGTATTACCAAGCGTGTGGTCTGAGTCTGGCCCAGTGTTCGCGGTGGAAGTGAAGCCCTGATGAATCTCCCAGTTAAGGATGTCGTCCGAGTATTCGTTTGCCCACATTCCTATACTGGATTCAAAATCGGTATCATCAAAACCTAGAAATGAGCAGAAAGAAACTTTAACGGTTGGCAACCTCTTTTAATTGAGGAATTCTTCCTTTTCTGAGAAGATTCTGCGGCAAAATTTGTTATGTGAATAAAAATCTTGTGGGTGGTCCAGCGAGATAATAACGCAAGAAAAAAAAAAAATTTTTAACTCTAATTCTATTTCTTTGGCATTAGCATACTTTTCTCAATGTTTTGTTCTAGTGAACACCAAGCCGTCTAGAAATCATTTGTGCTCTGAAGTGATATACTCTTCTAATGTTAATGATCGTCTACTGTTTAGTGAAGCGCTTCAAAAAACCACATGCTGGTTTCTAAAGAGTAGCTAGCGCACATGCGCAGTTTTAAACATGATCCTTACCGAGGACACATCTCTTCATAACACAACCATCTGACTTGGTTGACGCTCCTGGACAGTACAGACCTCCACGCATGGGCTTTGGATCGTTGCATTTCCTAAATCTCGTTCTATAACCGTCACCACATGTGACACTGCATTTCGACCAATCTGACCAGCGGCCCCAGTGTCCGTCGATAGCTGAAGCGATCGACAAAAGGGAAAGATTAACCTAGCAGTGTGCTCACATATAAGTTCTACAATAAGGTGCAGATTTGTTGCCTACAGTACAGGGCCGTTTTCTTCATGTGTTACGAATTTAGTTATGTCCTTCTGTGGACCAAGATTCGTTCACAAGAAGTGACACGTTGCCGTTTAAAACTGAAGGGAACAGCGTTGATAACTAATGAGACGGCTTTAGAGCTACATTTCTTCTTAAAGGCTTTGTCTTATACCTACTGAGCCAAAATTAGAAGGGAAAATGATTAAAGCTCTAGGTTTTTAAGTTTAATTTTTGCGTGTTTTGCCTGATGGAATGAGAAATTCGAAAGGGGAATCGATAAATAAAGAAGCAATAAAATGACG